AGCGCAGGGGCTGCTGGGGCCCTGCCATCCTCACGGCCGCCCTGGCCCGGAATGCCATGCCGGCTCCCTCGCCCCTCCACCCAACCCTCTTATCTCGCTCAGAGGCTTGACTGGCTGGCTGATGGCGTCATGGGAGAAAGTGTCCCTGGACCAGGCCAGGATGCCCGGGAAGGGGTCAGGGCTGGCGGGTCAGGGCTGGCGGGGTCTCCCAAAGGAGATGGGGAGGTGGGTGGGCGCCTTGTCCTGGGTTCCCCGCGGCCTGCTGCGGGCTGGTGGGTGTCCGGGGCAGGTGCGGGGTCAGGACTGGGAGCTGGATCAGGCTGGGCTAGACCAGGCCTCCTGCCCCCCCACGTTGAAGGAAGCAAGATGGATGGGGCCTTATCTTATCAGATGAGAGGGACCTTGGCTATTTTTATCTCCTTTCAGGAAGGCGGGCGGCTGTGCGTTCCTCCCCTTTACCCTTTACCTCGGATGTGGCTGACGCCTCCCAGGCCTCACGCGGCTGCAGGCAGTGGAGACAGATGCTGGCCAGGGTCCCTCCCAGGGGCGACCCTCCACCCCGGCAGTTAGGGAATCCAGAGGCGGAAGTGGGGTGGCACTAGGCACCAGGGACCTGTCTGGCCGGCTGGCTGGTCCAGCTGAGTGAGCACCCAGGAGACGAGGGCCACTCCTGAGGCTGATAGGACACAGCTTGCCTTGGTCCTGCCCGCCCCTGGGCTGTGCCCCGTGCCTGGTGCCCACACCTGCTTGCTCACCCTGAAGTGGGCTGTCAGGGGCAGGCCGAAGGGCGGATGGAGTGGTGGTGGGCTCCCCACTCTCCTGGGGTCATCCCAGCAGGCGCACCACGGAGCTGACCCGGGCGGGGCACCACGTTGGGTCCACGCTGCCTTCTCAGTGCCGCCGGGCAGCATTCCCACCAAGTGGGTCTCACAGTCGCTGTTCCCATGTTCAGACCAGGAGACTGAGGCCTAGGGCTCTGTGACCTCCCAAGGTCCCTGGCACATCGGGGTCCCCAGAGCTGAGCCTACCGGCCTGACCCTGATTTGGGGCTGGGGCTGGGGCTGGGGCCATGAGGCCTCGGCTCATGCTCCAGAGGCAGGACAGAGGGCATGTGTGTTTAGCAGGGAGGGTGCTGTTTCCTTATTTTTTTTTCTAAATATATTTTTACTGGAGGCCCAGTGCATGAAATTTGTGCACGGGTAGGGTCCCTAGGTCTAGCCAGCGATCAGGGCCAATCTGCAGGGCGACTGGCGGGGTGATGGGGGGGGGCCGCTGGCACCCACCTTGGCTGGCCTGGGGCCTGTGGGCTGGGGATAGCTCCTGCACGGAGTGTCTGCCCCCTGGTGGTCAGTGCGTGTCATAGTGACCGGTCGTTCCACCATTTGGTCGATTTGCATATTAGGCTTTTATTATTATAGATTGATTTCAGAGAGGAAGGGAGGGAGAGATAGAAACATCAATGATGAGGGAGAATCATTGATCGGCTGCCTCCTGCACGCTCCCCAATGGGGATTGGAGCCCACACCCAGGCATGTGCCCTGACCGGGAATTGAACCGTGACCTCCTGGTTCATAGGTCGACGCTCAACCACTGAGCCACGCAGGCCAGGCCCAGTGTGGTTTCCTACTTTCCCTGCTCCTGAGCCTGCCCCGAGGACTCTTCCCCTGGGCGATGAGTCAGGCCCAGCCAAGGCCCTTCAGACACTGGAGACGGATGGTGTACCTCAGCGCCCAGTGGTGACGGCCG